AAGTGGCAAGTGAAATAATGCAAGCTGAAACTGTCTTCTTCATATCGATTGATAAGGGGTATGAGTGAATAAAGTTGGCGCCAGCGTAGAGAAAGTGCTTGCCACAAGGATGGTCTGAAGGCTCGATCGAAATTCTCTCGGGCCGATTAGATCTTCAACCTTTCGGTGTTTACTCGGAATCGGAATCCCTTGAGCGGGAACAGCTACTGGGGTATTACTAGGGTAGGGCCTACAGACTACGGTCATCTTGTCGGCTGAGTGTCCATTGGAACACCTTGGCAATACCGATTTGGAGTCAAATGTATGGCGTAATCTGGAGCATTTGATCAGCACTGCACAGTTCGTCCTTTTCACGCGACACTTTCGCCCCGTAACTCATCTTTCTATGTTGTGTGTCGTTGCGCTAAAGGTCTACGCGCACTTTTCGTTTGCGGCGATAAAATTTCGCAAGCAAGTATTGCACTGTGCTTTGTCGTGGGTGTGTGGTATGGTGTATCATTTGTACAAGATAACGTTTCGTCGAGCGCCGGTCGTCAGCGCCATTTCAGCTTCGCTAACCTTACACATCTCTGAGCTACTCGATCCTTTCGTCAAGAACCGTGGAGTTGTTCGTGATCCCATCTGCAGTTTTTGTCCGGCTTCCCTGGTCTCTTTCTGGTCTCTCACCGGAAAAGTTGTCCAGCCCTCCTGAACTCAGCGTCCCAGGTCGAACTCGAGTTTGACCAAGGTTCATTCGAGCGATTTGCCATCTGCTACTAGCGCATACTCATAGCGCATCTGTTTCTTATCACCATGTTTGCCAGTTGGTTGGAGATGGGTGAGTGCCTTGCACCTTTGTTGATCTTTCAGAGAATCGTTCATTGTTAGTGCTAAAAGTGCAACTCCTGAAGTCGTCCTATTATTAGGGGCTTGACAATGTCGACTTAGGTGTTCCAGAAGTTGGGCTATTCATAATGAGTCCATGAAGCTCGGGTGCAAACTGAACACCCGCTGTTGAATTTGGACAAGGCTATCCTTTTTGGTAGTCAAAAGGGAAGGACTAGGCCTCAACACGTCATCTTGGAGGAAATCGGAAACCAAAAAGGGGTCAAACGGCCCCTCTGATAGCACAAGTGATACGACTGAGTCTAGCGAGAAGGAGTCGAAGGCGCATGATGGAAACGATAAAGCTAAAGTGGACTGAATAACATTTATAGTGGCACGAAGATAGGGTCAATCATAATCGAGTGGAACCCATGCCTAGGTCCCGGAAAATCAGTGAGTGGGTGGTCAAGGAGATCATTCCCGCTTCGCCAGGAGGTTACACTAGTCCAGACCCTTGGGTTGTGATATTTACCAAGCACTGGCTTACCTAAGTGACAAGGGTGAATAATGAGAAAGAAATTTTCTAGGCTTCTCTGTTGGTGTAGGTGCTTAGGGTATTTGTTGCAACTGACTGATAATTTCATACTAGAGTAGGTTAAGGTCATCGGGTCTAAGAAGGAGCTGCCATGATCTGCTGACCGGGGATATCCTCGAAACGGCGTTCGGAAGTCCACTTCAAGAGGCAGTCAAGTCTTGAGATGCTGGGTTCTTAAGGACTTTTCGAAATCGATCAAAACGGATTCTTCCAAGTAGCCGACAACCCATTGTGAAGTTACAAGAGCTCAACAAGTTCTCAACAGAAATCGACCGTTATTTTTGTTGCTCTTCTAAGATTCGTATACAGCATTCCTACTGTTATCAAAGAGAAATGGCCCCGTCAGGGCTGGGTCTTTGAGCAAGTGCCGTATTTGCTCAGTCA